GTTTTGTTAGACACGATGAGGGTGAGCTTCGGTACATTGTTATGCTTTTTACCTTTTGACCTTCAGGTGACAAGTTCAAATACTAGAAACATTGTTAAGACTGTACATCTACCCTCCCTAGACCCTGCGTAGTGGGAGCCTCATGCATTGAGTTGCCCTTTTTTTGAGTTAGAGACAAAATCTGTTCTTACGTGTTAATAGAGATATTTGATGAAATATAACATTAATTATAAAGATTATGTTTTATATATTTTTAGTTGCATAGTTAACCTGATTGCTTGAACACTTGAAGTAGCATGAAATAATTAATGCCAAATTTAGGCATCTGTTCTCTCAATTTTATTCAATACGAATGGGTGTTCACGGGTTCTTCATTTCACTTCAGATTAGCAAGGCACTCTTTGCAGAATACGTAGCATGTCAGAAGAAAAATAAGCCATTCAGTGGTTTGGGATTAGAACACATGAACAAACCTTTTCCTATTATCCCATCCCAGTTAACTAGTTCCACCATTAGGAGCAGTGAATTTCAGGTAATCATTTGATTTTATACCTGTCGATATTTGGAAAAGCCATGTAGAGGCTTCTATTTGTTTCTTACCTCTCACTTAAACAGATTGATCTGTTCCACCTAAGAGAGCGAGACCTATTGAGACGTTTTGCTGAAGAGGTTTTAGAACGTCAATCTCTTGGAGAAAGCAAAGAGTCTACCTTCATTTTAGTGAGGATTCTACCAGGTTTTGTTCTTTTTTTTTTCCTTCCATCTTTTCACTGTCTTACAGTTTGAAACTCTTTTGTCTTCCAGAGTTATCAGCTCGCACAAGACTTGGGCAGAGCTTTCTCAGAACGAGCAATATTAAAAACGTTCATGGAGGCAGAGTCAACTTTACCAGCTGGTTCATTGAAGGTAAATTATTAGCTTGCCTAATATTCCTGTTACAGGGGAGTGCTTGTAATATACTCCCTCGGATCCTTTAAATAAGAAACAAATGGGTATCTTATTTTTGTCTAAATTGTAAGAAACAAGTATTTACTTTAAGATGTATTAATTACAAATTTTCTTTTATACCCTCATATAAAAATAGATGCATTAACAATACAAGTTGCACTTATTAGTGAAAAAATTTATCTCTTGAATTAGATAGTGTCATTTAATGCTACCACTATTTAAACTCATTAATTCAAATGATATTTTTGGAATGAAATTTAATTTTATGATATTATTAATGAAAACTAACCATCTTAACTACTTTTATTGGTTTTGATAAATTAGATATGTGCTTTTTATGTAAAGAACCAGAGAGTACTCTCTAATATACCCCTTCACACTCTAGTAAAATATTCTAGTGTATCCTTGCTAACATACTTTTTTGGCTATTATCAAAATTTATTAGAAACTACAAAATAATAAATGGAGCTCATTAAATTAGAATACTCTCAAAATTTTGTTTTTTTAACTTAATTTCAGCCTTGAGCCTTTAATAAAGTGTGCTAGGACATGTTTATACAAGTTTCTCCATAAGTTAAAACTAACTTATACATAAGTTAAAAATAAAATTTTGAAGAAGCTAATGAAAGAACTTTTACAAATTAGCTTTTGGAGAAACTTAATTTATTTTTCCTTTCTATTTCTCTCTCTTAAAAGTGTTTTTAGAAAGGTTTATCCAAAAGACTCTTAGATAGTGTTGTCAACATTTCTCATGCTTTAGTGTCTTTTCTTTCTTGTTCAATTATATGTGACACAGGTCTATTTATTGATTACTTTGATTTGATCCACTCTGTAGGATGTCTTGGGACTGTTGAGATCGATGTATGCTGTGATATGTGTGGATGAAGATGCTTCCTTTCTTCGATATGGATACTTGTCAACAGAGAATGCTTCTGCAGTGAGGAAAGAAGTGCCAAAACTCTGTGCTGAACTTCGCCCGCATGCACTTGCCTTGGTCAGTTCCTTTGGTATTCCCGATGCTTTCTTGAGCCCAATCGCGTATAATTGGATCGATTCAAATTCTTGGTCTTCTTCTCAACTTTAGCTTATGCAGTTTTTTACACACGATCGGGTTATGGGGTGGTGGTAAGCATGTATGAATAATATTTTTGTTACACTATGTAGAATATTACTAAACAGTGCAAAAAAATTTGCACGAATCTAATCACGAAAGGTCGTGGTTACATAGTACTGGGTAAATAATCAGTTAAAGAACAAAATAAAAGTTGGGAGTTAGATGAAAATCAAGGCTTGGTCATTCGTATTGATTTTCATAAATAAATTTCTGTACCATGTAATAGTTTCCTTGCATGTAAGTGCCTTTAAGTTTTTGTTATTAAAATACCTTTAAATGCTTGAATTCTTTTATTCTTGTCATACACGGATTTGAATTTGTCAATTTGGTCTGTCATTGTTGACGTGGTCTTTGTGAACTAACTCTCAAGATATAGAAAAGAAAGAAATAGGGAGAACAAAAATAGAGGGAAATGGAGGTTTAAACAGGTTTAGTCTCTCTTTTTATATGTGTTTTTGGTTTTAGATTCATACCCTCTGTTTGGTATCACCAAAATATCAATGAAAAAGAGAAGAGAGGAGCGAAATGACGAAGAAATAAAAGATGTCAATAGTTTGGTGCATCGGAAATGTGTGAACGAAGAAATAAAAAGGGGGAAGTTTTACACTTTTATTTCTTCACAAATAACTGCCAAAATGAGAAGTGAACATGGGAGTTACTACGCGACTTTTATACGTTGGAATGTTATGGTACAATCAATTTTTTTAAATTAATAAAAAATTATGTAAAGTATGGATTTTTTTTTTACGTTTATTTTTTTCTTATTTATACTAAGTGATATATTATTGACAAATTGATAATTTAAATAATGAACTTATTCTTTCTTCTCACCAAATGTTAGTCCAAGTGTTTTGGATTGTTTTATAGAAATTGAAATAACTTTGGAAAAAAATATAGTAAAATTTTATTTGCTAAAGTAAAGAGAGATTTATAAAATTTTTATTCAATTTATTTCTTATAATTTATACATAAGTGTGAAAATTCTTAATTTATCATGATTCATAATACATAAAAAATATCTTTACTGAATTCAAACTATTTCATAAACACACACAAATATATATATATATAGAGAGAGAGAGAGAGGAGAGTTTAAACAATATCAAAATAATTATTACTAAGTATTACACTGTTTAATAATTTTATATTAAATATGAATTTTAAAAATTCAATGGTTAGATTGAAAGTTCTTTACTTTTAGATCATATATATAGAGGAGTAAAGAACTTTCAATCTAATGGTTAAATTTACAAAATTCACGTTTAATATAAAGTTATTGAGCAGTGTAATACTTAGTAAAAGTTACACCGGTGTTATTATAATCCTCCTCGTATATATATATATATATATATATATATATATACACACACTTAAAAATATTGAAATTAAAAGATAAAAATATTACAAATCAAATAATTTTAAATCAAATGTTTACATATTTAAAAAGAAAAAGAAAACAAAAACAACTCTAAAATCCATTACTAATATCTATATTTTATAAATTAGTTTAAAAATTTTTAATGTTTGATATATTAATTCACATTACATTTGATTTTTAAATTTAAAGGTTTTGAATTTAAATCTTATTTTTGTAAGAATAATTAATTTTTAATATTATTTTTTATTAATTAAAAATTTAAAGATAAAATCATTAAAAAATTATATATACACTAAATTGAGCAGTTTCATTTATTATACATTATAATGGGTACATTAGAATGTCTGGATTCGATTAAAATGTGTCTCTCAATCGATTAAATATTTTTGGCTAAAATACTAATTTGGTCCTTATATTAATTGTTTGTTTCAATTTAGTTCTATTTTAATTTTTAGTTTCAATTTAGTCCCAAACTAATTAATTGGTTTCAATTTAGTCCCAAATTAATTAATTGGTTTCAATGTGGGACTTCCGTCTAAATTATTTAAACGGAGTTAACTTTTAGCCACGTGGATGCCACGTAGATGCATACGTGGATGCCACATGGATGCCAATTTTTTTTAAAACACCTGGACCCAGAACGGCCCGTTCTGAAACCGGAACGGGCCGTTCTGGTTGCACTTTTTGTGTGTTAGTTTTGCTTCCGGAACGGCCCGTGCCAGGTGCAAAATTAACACACCAAAAGTACATCAGAACGGACCGTTCTGAAATAAGAACGGCCCGTTCTGGTTGTTCTGGATTCAGAACGCGCCGTTCTGTAATCAGAATGGGCCGTTCCAAAACTGAGAATAGTGCCTCCATTGTATTTTTGATAATTATGCAATTTTTATCCCTAAGGTTTTATTGAGTAATTTCAGTCTTTAAAAGATTATAGTTGTGTAATTTTAGTCTCACCATTTTTAATTGAATAATTTTAATCTCTCAAATATCATGATTGTACAATTTTAGTCTTTGTTATTAAAAATTTAATAATTTTAAAATTTTAATATGTATATATATATAATGTTTTAAAACTATATAATTGTTTGCTTATTTAAATTAACATATATTATAATTTTTTGTAATGTATCAAATGATATATATTTATTATTACTAAATAAATAAAATTTATATATTATTAATATTTTAATATTACTAATAAATTAATATCAATAATATTTTTCCTATATTTATAAATAAACTAATAATTTGATAAATATATATTAATATATTTTTACAAAAATATAAATATATAAGATCAGATATATTTTTCTAATTAATATACTTATATTTTTGTAAAAGTATATTAGTTTATCTATAAATATATTAATAATATTATTGATATAATATCAAAAATTATAACATATGTTAATTTGAATAGATAAATAATTGTTTAATTTTAAAACATTATATATATATGTTGGATATCAGCACATATCAATCAGAATCTGTTGGAAATCAGCATATATCAATCAGAATATTCAATTCTGATTTGTAAAGATTTAATGTTAATAAGATCAATTTTATTTCCCCTCCTTTAATTATTTAGATACAGCATTTATAGGGAGAATTATTTCCCAGATTTTTAGGGATAGATTAGTGTGCAGATTTATTCCCTTGTATTCTATTTATACCACTTTTGTATTTTTCCCAAATCAGAGAAATATACATTGTATTTTTCCGCAATATATATATATCGTTCTGAAACCGGAACGGGCCGTTCTGGTTTCATTTTTTGTGTGTTAATTTTGCATTTGGAACGGGCCGTTCTGAATGCAAAATTAATACACAAAAAATTAAACCAGAACGACCCGTTCCGGTTTCAGAACGGGACGTTCTGGGTCCAGGTATTTTTAAAAAAAAATTGTCATCCACGTGGCATCCACGTGGTATCCACGTATGCATTTACGTGGCATCCACGTGGGCAAAAGTTAACTCCGTTTAAATAATTTGGACGGAAGTCCCAAATTGAAACCAATTAATTTTTAAGGGACCAAATTGAAACCAATTAATTAGTTTGGGACCAAATTGAAACCAAAAATAAAAGTAGGACTAAATTGAAACAAACAATTATTATAAGGGACCAAATTAGTATTTTAGCCAATATTTTTTCTATACTGAATATGCTAAAATAAATTATTTAATTCATTGAATGAAAGTTTTAATCGAGTAATTTTCGCTTCAAAATTACTGATTATATATTTTCGTTAATCAATTGAAATTCAAAGCTTTTATACGATTTTTTAAATTATTTATATACTTTAAATTTATTTACTTATTGTTTTACTTAAATTTTAGTATAAAAGAATTTTATTTTAGAATTATTTATTTACTTGTATAATTTTTTGATTTAATTGATTAAAATAAAAATTAATCAAAAATTAATTTTAAATTTTTTTATTTATCTATTTCTCTCTCTCTCTTATATTTTTTACTTACTTACTTATTTATTTATTTCTCTCTTTTCTTTTTTATATATCCTATTTGTTACTTATTTATTTTCTATTTCTGCTATATTTCTCTTAAATCAAACATACAATTTATTTATTTATTTATTTTTACTTATTTTTACTTACTTATTTCTTCCTTCTCTATTTCTTCCCGCTCAATTTTTCACACATTTCTTTCCTTGTAACCAAACACATCATTAAGTTTTTTTTTTTTATTCTTCAAGTTCAATTGCTCCTTTTGTCACTTATGTTTTATGATTTTATTAATTTTTCCACCTAACTTTTAATTTTGTACATTGTGCTATTCAAGTTTTAAAATTTTGTATATTTTTCTACTTTATGAATTGACTTATGATATCTTTAATTAACTGTTGTCATGACATATTAATTATTAATGTAATATGTTTAATTATTGACATAACATATTATGTTACATGATTATCTGTATGACATGTTATTAATTTACATAAATAATTAATGTGTTACATTAATAATTAACTTTTCTAATAATTAATTAATTAATAATGTTAAAGAGTTAACTAAAAAAGTAATAAAAATATATAAAATTTTAAAAAATTTGATGATAAAACGTGTGATTTTTAAAATTAAGTCACAAAAGTCGCAAAATTATAAAGCATGAATATAAAAAGATGCAATTAAATTGATTTTTATTATTATTTTAGAATTAGTGTTTTTAGTTCCCATAGTTAATCCAACACTGTTAATTGGTGATGTGACCATTGATGAACTTAGTCAATGTTGCCACCTGATTCTTAAACCATCTTACAGACATTGTTATATAAATGGAGGTCAATTTTACACCTACTTTTTTTTTTTTTTTTTAAATGATGATTTCAAATTGAAACTAGAAAAGAGAAAAAAAGAAAAAAAGAAAAAAAGAAGAAGAGAGAGACAAGTTAAAAACTTGTAATCAATGAAACAATAATAAAGAATCTCAATTTATTGAAACCTTAATAAAAGAAACACAAACAAAAAAGAATGTTGAACAAAGGCTTACAACCCAACTAACCTGAGGAACGACAATTAGTATAACTTACTTACCAAAAAACTTTTTTTTTCTTTAACCATGGTCCGTTCTTTAGATGTAAAGACCTAAATATATCTAGTAAAACAAAAGAACTTGGAATCTTTGGTTAATTGAGCAATATTAGCAACATTCTCTCTAATATTGTATTTATTGTTGTCTTAAATCTATTGAAAATATTAAATTTTGTGGGTATTACATCTCATTTAATGACTTTCTAAGATAAATTCTATTAAAATTTGTGATTTTCAATTACTAATAAAAAAAATATTAGAAAAAAAAATGTTATTGAGTGTCACACATTTTTCTTGATTAATTAAATTCCTTTATCATGTTTCGTTTTTCTTTAACTATATTGTAGAAAAGCTAGTAAACAAGACCATACTATTATGCATTACACAATTCATAAACAATATACCATGTTCTAGCCATTTTATTAATATGACTTCTATGTCTTATGAACCCATGTTCTCCGTGAAGCTCATCAAGTTGCGAATTTTTTTGTGAAGCATGACATGAAAATTTCAAGTCAATCGAATTTTTTATTCGGTTTGACATATTTTAGCTTTTACTAGTTTTCCTAAAGGTTTTTAATACCTCTAATTTTATTTATTAATCAAAAAAGTATCTTCTACATGCAAGTCTTTCTCCCTAAATCCACATTCCACAATACATTGTATTTGACCAAATAAATATTTCAAATGTAGGAACATGTTGGTTAAACTCAGATATCAGAAGAAAACAATAATCTTTCATTCATCAAAGGATAAAAACACACATTAATTACGTAGACTTTCAAGATCTTACACACTTCACTAAACAAAATAACATAAAACATAAGACAATAGATAATTACTAGTTCTCTGGGATCCATAGTCTTGAGATTGTTATATATCTGAACTTTTTTATATTTAACGCGTGTTATTCGAACACATGTAATTAATTAGATTGTAAAATATATTTATAATGATGTATATGTTTAATTCTATGCAAAATCCGGAGATAATTGATATAATTAATATTTAAAATATAGAATGTATTGTTCCTGGCTTGCATTAAGAAAATGTGTGTAGTCTATGGATCAAGATTTTTTATACATTTAGTTTTAATTTAATATTACACCTTGTTTTGTGGCTTAGGATTTTGTAAATTTTGACACATATTTAATGATTTTGTGAATTTTGTTATATAATTTTTAAAATTACATATTTTGTCATTTAACTTTTAAAAATTTACTTGGTTGGTCATATTATTAATTAATCATCTAATCTTATTAATTAATTATTAATGTGACATATCGATAATTTATGAATGCTTAAAGCCATCCTGAGAAGCTTTGAGCTTATTTCTAGAATGAAGGTAAACTACCATAAGAGTTGCTTGATGGGGGTAAATGTTGAGGACGTGTATTTAGATACAACTGCAAATTTTTTAAATTGTAAGGTTGGGTCATTGCCATTTCGATATTTAGGCTTATATGTTGGAGATAATCCACGAGAGCATAGTGCATGGGGGAAGCTTTTAGAGGTGCTTAGCAACAAGTTAGCGTCATGGAAACAAAGGTATATTTCAATTGGCAATAACACTTCTTAATGCGGTTTTGAACAGTCTTCCTTTACATTACTTATCGTTTTGGAAAATGCCTACTGGTGTTATAAAGGATGTGGTGAAAATTTAACGCCATTTTTTGTAGAGTGGTGTGAAGGAATCTTCAAAAATATGTTGGGTAAAGTGGGATAGAGTGTGTAGACCTACTGAGAAAGGTGGATTGGGGGTAAAAAACATTGAATGGTTTAATTGGAGTCTTTTGGGGAAATGGGTGTGGCGTGGTCTTACACATTCTAAATCTTTGTGGGTCCAAGTTGTAAGAGCAAGGTATGGTTCATTTTCCTTTTTGCTTACCTCGGTGGTGGTGGATCCGAAAGCATCAATTTGGTGGAGGGATTTGGCGGTGGTGTGTCATCAAGCGGGCTTTTGGTTGTCGTCAAATTTAAGTCGTATTCTTGGTGATGGTAGAACGATTCGATTTTGGATAGATAAATGGTTGGGTGATGAAATTCTTGCGGATGTGTTCCCTCGTTTGTTCTCTTTAGCAATGAATAATGAATCGTTGATTGCTGAAAATGGAAGCTTTGATGGGTCATCGTGGAATTGGGCCTTGGTTTGGCGTCAACCTTTATTATTGCAAAGGGAAATTGAACTTGCTCATGAACTACAGGTGATGATTGAGCTTGTCCAACCTAAGGTGCACATGGAGGATTTGTGGTTATGGAAGTGTGACTCATCGAAAGCATTCATAGTGCGATCAACATATGATTTAATTTGTGTACTCTTTCTATAATATAGGTGTTGTGGTGGATGAGGTTGTAATGTTGGCATTGCAGTGTGTATGGAAAACCAAGGCACCGCGTAAGAGTATGATTTTTTCTTGGCAATTATTACTCTGTTCATTGCCTGCGCGTCAAGCTTTAGTGCGGTGGGGAGTGTTGCTTATTCATGAGGATTATGTGTTTTGTATAACATGGAGGAGGATGTGACACACTTGTTTCTATATTGTAATGTTGCTAGCTCAGTTTGGTATTCATTGTGTTGATGGTTGGGTTTTTCGTCATGTTTATCAGGTTCTGTGGAGGGCCAATTGCTGACTATGAGTGGCTTTGTTGTTGGAAAAAAACCTGTTCGTGTTGTTGTGACTATTTGGGTTGCAACTGTGTGGAGTTTGTGGCTACACCAAAATAAAATGGTTTTCAATAATAGAGTGTGTGATGCACTTGAAGTAATTGAATCTGCTAAATATAGAGCGTGGAAGTGGTTGACGGCAGGAATGAGTCATGGGAGCATTTCGTTAGTAAATTGGCTTAATGAATCATACCATTATTTTTCAAGTTTTTTGTAATTTATAATGGTGAAAGTTTTCTTGTATTCTCGTTTCTTGTTTCTTAAATAAAACTATTTAATTATAAAAAAAAAAGTGAGATAAATGATGATGTGATATAATTTGTCATTTTAAAAGTCAAATGACATATTAATTATTAATATATTATATCAATGATCAATTATTGATGTTAAACAATTAATTAATGATATAATAAAATTTAAAAAATTTAAAAATTAGGTGACAAAATAAAAAAATCCAATGTTCAAAAAATTATTTTTCCATGTGGCATCATCCCATCAATTATATACACAAAGGGCATCCAAACTCCTTAATCACAATATACACCAAAATAATATCCTTTAAATAAAAAAAAAATTAGCCGACAAAATTTGTAAAATTGTATTGATTGTTGAACTACTAATCTTGACCATTCATATGCCTTCTTTCTATATTTAAATGAAATATAAAAATTAAATGGAAATATAGTTATTGATCTATACATTCTATTTACGAATTTACATAATTTTATCCATTCGAGTTCCTAATTTTGTTTGGACGCGCCAATTACCGTAAAGACCGTTCATTTCTTCTTTGTTGCAAAGCCACACACACCACTAAGTGTATCAACATTAGCTCATGCAAAATGTGGATATATATTGATTTAGCAGTATTTGAGTATGTACAAGATAATTTTGTATTTTAATTATATAACAAAAATTTATAATAAATAATAATTTTGAATATATAAATTATATTATAATTTAAATTGGTAGTAATTAAATAATTTTATTATATAAATCATATTTTTTTATTGATGATAAATAATTTATATAATGCTACCAAGTTATTTTCATTTTATTTTTAAAATATTAAAATTTAATTTGAATTTATATATATATTAAAAGAGATAAAAGGTGGGAACAAATCTCTAAAAATATTCTCAACGAAAAAAAATAATTAGAAATACATTCGTTGAACAATAATTTCTAAAAATTATTATTAAAATAATTATTTTTATTTATATATAAATAATTTCTGAGCATTATGAAAAAGGTATGTAGTCTATAATCAATATTTTCTACACATTTAACTTTTGAACTGCATAATGCTTCTTTCTATATTAAAATAAAAATATAAAAATTAAATTGAAATTTGGGTATATCTAAGCATTCTATTTACTAATTTACTTCACTTTGCCCATTCGAGTGATCTATTCCTTGTTTGTGTTTGAACGTGCCAATTCCTGCATTCTTTGGCATAGCCAGATTGGAAGTTTGAAGTAACAATTATTTATAACCAACACAAATAGTACACAATATTTATTATAACCCAAAAGCTGAAAGTTTACTAGTTCAATGCTATATTAATTGCACAGTTTCACAAAAGACTACCACCACTTATCTTCTTCAATGTAAATTGAAGCTTTTTACAGCCACTGCAATTTATGTAAATCATGTACGATATATCATCAAACTCAACAACTATCACTGGTACAAGTCAAACCACCTCCCTCAACAATCTCTTGAAGCTTCATGCAGAAGTTGTCAACATAAGAGGACTCCAAATCCTTGTCAAGCAGTAAATCCCTGAGCCTACTATGATTTTCCCTAACTTTCTTGCTAATTTCATTCTCATCATCCATCACAATGCTCACAGCTTTGCACACACTCTCCTTGCAGTACACCCCCTCCTCATCTTTCTCCACTTCCACACCAACCTCCAAGTTGTTCCCCATCATCCTTGCATTCAGAATCTGGTCCCCAACATTAGGCAACAACACAAGCTGGCACTTATTCACCAATGCCTCAGACAGTGACCCTGATCCACAATGAGTAATGAAGCACCCCACAGAAGGGTGTGCCAGAATCAGCTGCTGCAGAACCCACCCTCCCCACACAAACCCTCTCCCTTCAACCCTCTCTTGAAACCCCTCAGGCATTGCCTCCTCCACTGTCTCAAACCCTAGTGGGGCCTTCAAAGCAGCCAAAAAAGGCTTGTTGGTAATCTCAAGCCCTAACAACAACTCATGAAACTGGTTTGGCCTCAAAGTGCACTCACTCCCAAAGCAGCAATAAACCACTGAGCCAGCCTCAAACCCTCCAAGCCACGTCTCAAACTTCTCCTCCAATTGAGAAGTTGGTGGGTCCAGAATAACGGGACCAGTGCAAAGCACAGGCTTGTTGAACTGCTTCCCAATGTAATCAAGATAAGGCCCTTCAACTTCCCTACAAGTCCTGTAAGCCAACACATCAGCCTCATTCATAGCAATGAACTGGCGATCATAGAAAAGAACATCACTCCCAAACGTTTCCTTTCTCTTCCCAGCAAAGGCACGTGCCTCGTGTGAGAAAAGCTTGATGGAGGAATCAGGGTACCCTTCGGGGGGTTCCATGAGGTCACTCTCAGAAAGTTGTGTCCCATGATAGTATCTCACAGGTGGGAGAGTGTAACCCACCATGACAGAGCTAGCAGTGCAATAGTGCACACCTTTGATGCCTAAACTCTTGGCTAGCTTTGGCATCCAGTGTGTGAAGTCGTAGAAGACAAGATGGGGTTTGAGATCACTAAGGAGGGTTTCTAGGTCGTGTTGTGTTAAGTCCATGGCTGTCATGATGTGGGTATGAAGAGGGTATGAGACATCTGCGGTGGTTTGTGCATCATGGGGAAGCCCTTCAACGTGGGAAACAGTGATGGGAACAAAGGTGATAAGGTTTGGGTGAAGGTTGAAGGGTTCTAACTTGGCTTGTGCCTTTGAGGGGGTGATGAAGGAGATTCTGTGACCCCTTTTGGCTAGCTTGTTGCAGAGGTGGAGGAACGCGGTTTGGTGACCCATGGCCAACCATGGGTACATTGCTATGTGCAGAGGACGCGATTCCATGGCGAATTCGAATGAGAAAGTGAAGAGAAAATTGCAAAGGGAGATGGAGATGGTAAACAGAGAGAGTCACGCAGATCCTAGAGTCACGGAGATGCTAGAATCACGGAAATCCTTCGGTTGTGGTTTTCTATTTCTTGGTGGAAACTGTTTGAGGGCTACGAGGGGTACTATAATACTTGATGCAGACAGTTGACAGGATCCTTCAGTACTTGAAATCAAGTCCAGGGAAGGGATTACTATTCAAAAGAGGAGACACCATGTCTATGGAAATATATACTGATGCAGACTACACAAGGTCGGTCGCAGATAAGAGATCTACTTCTGGATATCGCATGTTCTTAGGGGGAAATTTTGTGACTTGGAGGAGTAAGAAACAGAATGTAGTTACTCGGCCTAGTGCAATTGCTGAATTTCGAGCCTTGGCACATGACATATGTGAAGGGCTATGGTTGAAGATTATTCTTGATGACCTTAGAATTCAAATTGAGCTACCTATCAAGTTGTTTTGTGACAAGTCAGCCATCAACATTGCTCATAAGCTGGTTCAACATGACAAGACCAAGCATATTGAGATAGACAAACATTTCATTAAAGAGAAGTTGGATAGTGGTCTTATTGTTACAACTCATGTCCCTACAAGACTTCAAGTGGTAGATGTATTCACTAAGGGACTACCTACTAGCAGATTTCAAGAGTTGATAGGCAAGTTGGGAATGATTGATATTCATTAACAACTTGAGGGGGAGTGTTGTAAACAAAAATATCTTAGGAGATTTGATATGATCTTTTTTTATTTCTTTTATATTTATTTATTTTTGTTAAGATATTCTAATTTATAGTTTATCTTAATCCCTAAACTTTAGGGATTGTTTCTGTTAATTGTCTATTTATTTGATTGTACCCATCAATTCAGAATAATAAGAAATTATTCATATTTAAGTATTTTCATAGTTACCTGTTTTAGGGACAAATGTATCTTTATAATAGGGGAAGAGAAGAATGTAATGAGTATGATACAAATTGATAATATTCTCTCTTTCAACTCTAATAAGGGAAGAGAAGATTTGCATTTTTGTTTACATCTTAAATATATCTTTAAGATTTGTGTTTATATTGGTCTCAATATATAAACTACAAAAGTACATATATTATTTTCGAACCATGTTGGGTCATGTAACTTTCAAAGTTTGCTGCATCATAGTGTCAATGACGCATAGTGTTTGTATCCTGAGTTGTAATTATCATTTCCTAGCCCACATGTTCACAAAGCAAGATTTTATAGGAAATTCAAGGATTTTTTTATTTTTTATTTTACTGAAATGAAAAGGGATTAGACATATTTAAAGTTCAATTTAGAAAATAAAGTCCAAAAGCTACAAAATAAGATTTACCTTCACAAAGAGCAAGCTTGACTTTCCTTCCCTTGCAATGTTTAAAAGCAAAAAGCTCATATATATCAATCTCAGCTAAAAGAATATCAATGGCCTGGTGTTCTTTCTGCAACATTGAAAGTAACAATTGACCCACTTTGAGACTCCAATAGAAAGGAGGACATTTGTTAAACATGTTGGATGCCTACATTCCTCTCAACATTGTAATTAACATTCCAATTTCCAATGATATTGAAGTCTAAAAACACTAAATAAAATTACTATCAGCTTCAGATAAGCATAACATTGAAGTGTTCTTTATTGCGATCACAACTCTTTTTTCTCATCCTCAATCATTTCAGTTAAACCACAAAAACTTTCTTGCCTCTTTTGTTTTCAGTATCAGCAGTGTATGAGATAGGATTCTGACAAGTATTTACAATTTACAATTTTCTACAACTCTTTGGAACCTTGTTCTTAGGAAATCAAATGGAATATGCAACTATTGTTAGATCTGACATATGATACATACATCACCAAATACAGCAAATTTCTCCTGAATAGCATCTTGCAGTCGATCTTCAGCTTCTTGTTCAGAAATTTCTGCAATCAACAAAGAAAAGGATCAAAATGCGTGTGAAATATAACATGGCATCCTGAGTTAACTATGCATGATGAACTGAATAAATAGGATTCAAATTTATAAGATAACATACTATATCAAAGAGGTTGACCATATTTTTCTTTTTCTTTATCACAATTGGGAAGAAAATCAGAAAACCCAAGTCCCAATAGTTCCTAATAACAAGCTTATAAAGCTCGGGCCTTAAAATCTAAGATAGTTTTAGAGCCTATCCTAGATCTATTAGAATATCACCCACCATATTATCCACAATTCCACACATTAAGCCCAATAATGCAAACGATGAGGGGGTGTATTGGGAAGAACCCAAGTCTTACATGAACTAGATAGTGCCTGATAAGAACTTATAAAACTTAGGTACCCCTTATCTTACATTAACTAGATAGTGCCTGATAAGTAGCCTTATCCATTGTGTAGAAGTTATCCATTTAGCTAGACTATAAAAAACTAAGTGCATGTTATTTACATGCACGAGCTTGAGAACGTATGCATAAATAGTAACTATTGTAAAAATAATAGATATTTAGGAGATAAAAAACAACTCTAAATATCTTCATATATTTGTTTTCCTATTTATTATTGTTACTTCCTTTTTAAGCATAGTCACTTGCCTTATAAAAAGGGAGATTAGGAAATGTAACAAGTACACAATTAATATGTAGTTTCCTTTTTTTTTCCAATTTGGTATTAGAGCTCTAGATCTTGAGAGTTCTGTTTTTGCTGCTTAATACCAATGTTATTGTCTGTCACCATCATCGCTACGAGACTAGTTGTTCACCGCACATCATTCATTCAATACTGTTCATCAACACTTTTCATCGCCAGTTCATGCATCCGTATTCACTAGGATATTTGAATTTTCATCAAGGAGCAAGTAAATTGTTTCCAGGCCCTCTTTCGTTCCATGAGTAAGTCCTTCAAATCACTATACAGGATTATGTCATTAGTGTGTTCAACCAATTTATGCATGACTCCTACGAGAAACACCTTCAAGCAATTGAAAGGATACTTTAGTGTCTAAAGGCAACTCCAGGGAAGGACTATTATTTAAATCAGAAGGTCCATTATCCATGGAAATATACATTTGATGCTAACTAAACAGGATTAGTCAGACAGAAGATCCATTTTCGAATATTGCATGTTTCTTGGTGGGAACCTGGTAACATGGAGAAACAAGAAGTAGAATGTAGTTAATGGCCCAGGGCATATGTTAGGGAGTGTGGATGAAAATTATTTTTGATGACCTTAAAGTTAAATATGGGGATCCTATGAAGTTGTTTTGTGATAACAACTTGGCTATTAGCATTGCTCATAACCCAGTTTAACATGATAGAACAAAACACATAGAGATTCATAAGAACTTCATAAAAGAGAAGATGGACGACCTTATACTAACTAAAAGTTTCCGACAGCTGTAACTTTGAACTGCACATTATACAATGCAGTCCAGCCGTTATCTTTTACTTATTTCTAAGTTTAGTTAGTTAGATATTATGTTTATAGTTTGATAGTTAGTTAGTTTAGTTAGTTAGATAGCATTGACAAACATATGTTTTATAGCTTTTTTAGGATAATAGGATTTACATTGTCATAATTTATGCTTTTTAAGATTTATATATTATTTTCTTTTTGTCATTCAATTTTGAAATATAATTTGAATTTCTATTCTGGACTGCCTGGTTTAGATTTGGTATTCTGGACTATATATATGCAGGTGTTGGGTATATCAAAAATTTATAAACGTTTCAAAAAAAAAAACCCATAATCAATGGCCGACGTAAATTTACGTCGGACAAGCCATGTTCAACGTAAAATTATGGCATACTTTTGGTCCCTTTTCATTCGGAAATTTAAGATTATCCAACATTGTTGTGATGATTTTGGTTTTATTGTGGTCGTGATTATGCGTACTAACCTGAATATGTGGTTGCTTAAAAATAATATATAATTAATTGCTTTTGATATTTAGATTTTGATTCGTAGTGTAAGCAATCAAAAGAGGCTAATTAATATTTAGTTAATTAAGCAGTTTATTTGATATTGAATTTGATTCCTATAAATAAAAATTAAAAAAAATTATAGCATAATTACCAACCTAGGAATGGGGTGATGGATGATATAAGGCAAATTGACATAAGTGATAGGTCCCACCTTTATTCACTTATTGATCACCGGTAAATTTTTCATTAGAGACTCATCTTAACATGTAACTAATATTTTATTTTCAAAAATGAACCAGATAAATTTTTTATTTTATGTAACTAAATCTTATAAGTTTTTAGGGCAATTAGAATTTACATGCTAAATTTTATTTTGTCCTTCTATAATATTCAATCCATATTTTGTATTTATTTAATTTTAATGAAATGTATAATTTTAATTCTTTCATTAAATGTTCATTAGTTAACTACTAAAAAATTTATATTAAACATAACTTGATATTAAGTAGATATTAATTCTGATATTTATTTTATAACAATTAGAGGAGTCGAGGTACTTCGTGCCTCTAATAGTTATACATAAAACAAATATTAAAAAGATAGTTATTTAAAAAGAATATATGAAGATTTTTATTTTATATTTTAAGAGATATAATAGTCCATTAAAAAGTGGAGACCAAATGGATGATTATCAAAATATATCCTCTTTATAATAGGTATAGATGATAAAGAGAGATGAAAATAAGGGTTAATAGTACAATTTAACTTAAATTTTATTAAATATTTGTAACGACTCGCCGTGATTGTCACACTACGAAACAACACTACACACTATTAGAATATATATACTAAAATAGTATAATAAAATATTTACAACACAAGTTGTTAATCAAGCAACCAACAGCAACCAGTTATATACAACAAAATATGCTACTATAAGGTAGCCTACAAAAAAAAAATTCATCTCTAGGCACCTTCTGTGGCCTTTAGCAGCTATCTCTTAGTCTATCCCTGCCCTGCTCCCATACAATGTATGATCATCGTAGTTCAAAC